AGGTTTTCTGACATGGTTCTATTAGCAGCCGTCTATGCCTACAGAGCATTCAGAACTGTAGTGACCCGATCAGGCGGAGGAGTATCTGCGCCTCGTGTCCCACGGCGACCACGAACCCTCCTCATGATAATTGTACATGTAACACAAAGGAATGAGTTGATCAGACACACACTAAGCAATCACATATACATTAATCATAAAGAGTTTACAGGTAGCTATGCAACACAAAATACCGTCATACATAATCAGAGTTTCCTAGTAAACTGCTCTGATACCATAAAATGTAACAGCCCATTGTACACCAGTATTGTTAACATTGATTACGATATTAAGCATAGTTACAATCACAGCAATTCATTTATAAAAATGCGAGTAAGCTTTTTCCTTTTCATTACGCGAGCATTTAAAACAATAATAAAGCGTAATGAATAAAAGTTGTGACCGTAACTGAAAAATAATTGCGGAATAATTAAAACAAATGCCTAAATATCATATAATAATTCTCTCAAGTCATTAAGGGGTTACCGTAAACCCACTTAGCATAAATCTCACTTTTACGGTTTCTACCTATCCGAACATGGTTCAGTATTTTAATTACTGCACAAAATCCACGCGTCCTAAATCTCTCATCTTTTAGTATTTTATTCTAGACTTAATTATCTTTCCAACAAGCTATCACACGCTCCAAAAAGTTCTCGTTTGCTCCAGATATCACCGTTTGAAGTTGGACAAGCAAATCAGCCAGCCAACCTCAAACAGGTCTCAAACAGCCCTCACTCTTTGCACGATTCAGACAACCCATTCCACCAATTTCTCTCAAATATTTAAACAGAAAACTAGACACCTGAAGATTCAATTTGAGATATCATGCACCTAATTTGACCAAGAATTGAGGCAGGAATAATTTTCCCAAAAACCGGTCCAGACAGCCCCAAGTGTAGGGGACTTCTGCGCAATTTGTGTTCAACGATCTCTGCAGGAAAGCGTGCTACTCCTATGGTTCTGAAATTTTGACACAAGGTAGTTGACATCTCAAGCTTTAAAATGGTGTGTGAAACGTCCCTATTGGACCTTTGTGGAGGGAGATATGCTTTCTCAAAGTTCACTCAAAATTTGCCATTTTATAGAAATTTGGCCAGAGTCTCCTTTGTTTTTCTAACATATCCCACTTTTAAAAGTGTGTTATCTATACTCAAATGGTACCTAATAAACACGGGTGGCACTCAAGGGCCAGCAATGCCTTGGTGCTCTTACAACTCTTAAAATTTAATATCAATTTATTCAATATGCATAATCCATACTTACTTTCTCAAGTTAACTTGTTTCAACCACATTAAGTCCTTTGCATGCATTCTTTTGACATAAAACATAAATCATATCCTAGAATATGCCTATTGCCCTTTCATCATATAGCATGCTTCAATATTACACAAGGTCTCAATATTACAATTTATAATTCTTCATTTACAACAATTACAATAATCCTTCAAATGTACATAATGAATCCTCCAAAATAAACCATAATATATAATAACTAAACTTAGACAAAATATGACATGAACAAAGATGGCAATATGAATAATCGTAGCTCACTACAGTGTTCATGTCCTAAGTCTAGTCTAGGCCCAATGGCCACAAATTGCAAAATGGACTCAAGCTCTCATGCTCATCCTACGAGCCTCTTACCCGCCGCTCCAGTGCCACTGCCACTACCTGAGATAAAGTCCCCAAAACAGGGTGAGATATACGGATATATCTCAGTAACCCAGAGGTTCTGGAGATTACTCCGCCCAATGGCTCACTCAGAGGTTCTAGAGATTATTCCCCTCCAACAATGGAGGCCGCGGGTTGTGTGGGAGGGAGGAGAGAGAAAGTTCAGAAATTTGTGTTGTCCAAGGGGGCCAAGTCCACTTAAGTGGGGTGGGTCCCACCGCCACCTCACGCGATTCAAATTAATTCAAATCTCCCGCCTACTCCACTAAAGGTTCATAATTTCCTAAACTATTTAGAAACTCTAATTTTTAACATTAACCATTGTCCTTTAACTGTCCTTGATCAGATGAATCCGGAGTTTTCCGGTCGTTCGGAAAAATCGCAGTTTTAAGCTGTTATGCGCGTTGTGGGCACGCTTCCCCAAACACTCTAATTTACATAAATTTTCACCAGAAATCATATTTCCTTGTCCTATGTACCATTTATAACTTATATCCAAACCTACAGCTTAAAATTCATTTGGCACGCTTTACGATGCAATTGTACCGCGATATTTTTACTCGGTAAAAATACTATTCACCAAATTTCCAGAAACTTGCCTAACCACTCAATTTTTTGTTTGGAATCCATTTCCAGGGTTAGTTTTTCTATTTGAGACCTCCTACTCAATTTTACTTTCCTAGGGTCACGTGTTTGGCAATTTACCATTTTACCTTTCCTTTGTATTTTGACCCTAATTTCAGGATTTTCAATAATCCTACCCTTTAATCCACATTTAATATATAAATATATGTTTTAGAAATACGAGGTGTTATAACATGGTTAGTGATGTAACACCTCATTCTAGAACCAGTTTGTTAACATTACTTATAACATTAAGCACAATTACAATCATAACAATTGTATTAAAATCATATAATTATGCAAAAATCCTCAATTACTCATTATGCTGGTACTTATAAGTGACTTATAACAAGCTTAGTGGCTTGGAATTTAGTTAGTGACTTAGGTTATGATTTGTGACTTGTGACATTTTTATTGACTTATAATATATGCTTAGTGATTTTATTCGTATATACTTAATAAATTTTATTATTCTTAGATACTTCTAATATGCATATATTGATTTTATTCTTATTTAGTATATTTTATTGTGTGTTGTGACTTAGGACATACTAAATAAATTTTATTATGCTTAGTTACTTCTAATATGCCTATTGATTTTGTTTAGTTAGTAAATTATATTGTGTGTAGTGATTTAGAACATACTTAATAAATTTTATTATGCTTAGTGATTTTTTCTTAAAAATAATATATATTTTTTTGATTTAATATATTTTTTAATCTTGTATTGGACATCAAAAATATTTTTAAATTTAATAAATTATAAAAATATGTTTGTAAATTTTTATAGTTTTATTTTATGTGAATTAAAGAATAGAAAATGACTCAGCCAATATTTTTACTCTCATTGACATTTTAAACTTGTGAGGCAAAAAGAGAGATTTTGTTTGAATTCTTGAAGGATATTTTTCTGTGGAAAGCTTTTGAAAAAGAGTGAGTTGAAGACAATGTTATAATGTTACATAAATCGGATCGACCCGGTCGGGTCGATCCAGAATTTGGTGAACTGGTCACGTAATCAATCTGATTTTCATATTGGATCAGCCATGTTATAGAACCGGTGCGACCTGCCTGGTTTTTGTAAAAACTCGTGACCCGATCGGATCAACCAGTGACCTAGCTTGATTTATAAAAAGAAAAAAGAAAAAATAAATCTGGTTTATTCTCATCAATTAATATCTTTCTTTTTTTCACTCTCGTACACAAATAATTTATTTATTTTTAAATATTTGAGTGATCTGTAGCTTATTAACTTACATAGATTATGTACCTACATCACTAATATTATCTTGGTTATGCAATATGCAAGGATTGATTAGATTTATAGTTAGAGATATAGTCTACATAACCTGAAACACTAGTAACACAACTATTATATATTTGATTGATCTTTTTTTTGACAATGATACAAAATTTATTATTTTTGATAGTAAAATATTTGAAATTTGTATCATTTTTTTATATGTATTTAAGTATATTTATAGTTTTTTAATATAAATTATAGATTTGCATATACTTATCGGGTCATGCGATTAAACTAGTAACCCACTAATTGAACTAATGACTCAGTACTTCGACCGGGTTAAAAATCGAGCCGGATTTAATGACATTGGTTTTTTTTTCTTTTATTAGTTTTTAATTAAGAACCTTTTATTTGTTTTTAATGAAGAAAGGAGCCTTTTCTCATCAGAGAGAAGTGTGTAAGATTTAATTGTTGAGTAAATCTATTGGCAAGTATATAGTGAGTTACTCAAGTAACTCAGTTAGTCTGGAGTACTACAACCTTATATTTGAGTAAGTAGGTCAGTCAATAATCAAATTGGAATAAATTCATGAGGAATTATTTTCACATTTAATATGAGATAAAATAATTTTTATACACACACATATTGAGTGATGAGACCCATTTATACTTTTTTTCTTTCCTCTTTTCTCTCTGCTCTCTCCTATATATGTAAGTGTAGGAAAATGAGTTTATCTCATATTAAATGAGATAAACAATTCTCTAAATTAATATATAATTTTGGAATGAGGGCAAAATGATAATTTAATTTTAAAATAGAAACAAAAGGGTTAATCATCTCATGAACCTAGAAAAAGTTAATATATATATATATATATATATATATATATATATATATATATATATATATATATATATATATATATATATATATATATATACACTTGATTATAAGTTTAGTGATGTTGTTAATGTTGGATGACAATGCGATTGACGATGATTACTTCAATATAACTTAGCGATACTAAGTCTTGCAAAAAAAATCATAACAACCTATGTTCATAAAGACAAGTAATTCCATAAAGAAAGATGAGCAACAAATCGACTGAAGTTGGCAATGCTTGCATTATTTACACACCTGAAATTGACTAAATCCTTGGTATGCGATCAAAACTTTATTCTATAGTCATGTACAAGGAAATAGAGAGGTCAAAAGAAAGTAAAAGAGAAAATAAACAAATGGGGAATTTGGGAATGCTAAAGTCAAATACTTTTAACCCATGACAACCTTACGTAGCCTAATTGATCCGCAACATGGATATGTCTTGACTTGAAGGAAAAACCGATAACCAAAACGAAAGTATTTGACATAAAAACAAAAGCATTACACATATTTTGAGTGCCAAGTAGTGAATATTTATCAAAAACCTGGTACAAACCAAGTAGGATAAGGGATAAAAGGACTTGATTTTTCAACCGAAAAATATTTGATGCTGTTATCAGTCAAGCAAATCATCCCAATTTGAAGGCCTGCCCATGGGTCTTCAGGACAATTACATTTCATAGCAAAAAAGATACTATTTCCTGTAATTAACTCTTCAGTGCTATTAAGGGCAGCCCTTGACATTACCATGCTCTTGTAACCGCTAAGAAACAACACACGGTCACCCAAGTTATCAACCTTCATCCACTTATTATTTTCATTTCTTGTATCCAACTTGAACACTTCAATGTTGAAAATCTGAGGCGGGATAACATATTCAGTGACCATGTTCAAATAGCCAACATGCCGTGTTTCATGAACTGAGTCATAGAACGTGTAAATGAGGAATAGCTCTCCAGATGCATGATCTTTGGCTAGATGAATGTGGACATTATCCTCGACAAGATTTTCGTTACCAAACATAGATGATATTGTTGGCGGCCTTGGTGGAAGCATAATTATTACTTTAGGCCTTGGGGGGCCATTACTAGAATCTTGTAGATCATAAACCAATATCAAATTCGAGGATGTGCCGGTTGCAACAAACAATTTCCTATCAATAATTTCAACATCCACAAAACGAACCCCTGTATCCTTATCCGCTTCAATTGTAGTCCACGACTTGTCAAAGAGTTTGCAGAATGTAATGTGAAAACGATCATTGAAGAGACCAACCAAAAAACTATTGGAACTATGATGTGGTATGGAGGAGGCCACCATTTTCCCCATAAACAAATTAGCTTGAAGGGGAGATTTGGTTGGAAAACTCAACAATGATGGGACCCAGATTCTAGCATTAGTCACTGGATTGAAGAAGAAGATTATTAAACTTCCCACATTAGCATATTCACTCATAATCATCCATCCTTCAACTGAGCCATGACAGATTTGCATTTTCACAAAAAGTGGTCTTTTGGGGCAAAGTACACGTCCTGTACTCAAGCTGAAGAATGTGCATGATTTTACAGACTGGAGGACAACCAGTGGCAGTTCAGGTAAAGGGTGGCAATGCTTGTTTGCAATAGCATTAGCAACTGTGGATCTCCAAGGGGAGCATATTGCACGCAATCCAAGGTAATCTACGAGGCACAAACGCCTCATAATTAGTTCCAAGACATCACTTGGGAGATTTGACCATTTGCTGTGAAGTTCTTTCAGTTTTTTTCGACTCAGTTTATTTTGTTCGCAGTTGTTCTCTCTAATAAGTATACTTTCAGCTAGTTCCATATATTTGCAATCAACGCTGTGTTTTTGTACAAGGGATGAACATGCACAGCTTTCTTGGTAATGTAATGACATCTCTGCAAAGGGAAAAATTTATGAGGCAGGGTCTAAAACTTAAAAATTACTGTTACAATCAACAAAGAAAGATGTAAAACCAAATACTTTCAAGTCCACTCACACAAAAGCTGTAGGGAAAATTAAAATCAAAATTGAAAAAAAGAAACAAAAACCTTGCAACTTGTAAATAAGATTTTAATGAAATAAATGTAAATTATAATAACATGATAAAGAAAAAATACCTCAGAGAACCGTGAAGAAAAAAAGAATGAAAGAGAACAGCCTCAACACGACAACGTTCAGATTGGAACAAGGATTCTACGACTTCGAAGTTTACTTATTCTTTTTTAATTTGAATGAAAACAACCACCTCTGTTATATATGGTGACTCTAATTGTTTCTGTTTTGTGTGAAATTAAGACAACTTTCGAATCCACCTGAATCCCATGTTATTTTACGGAAATATATTAATTTATTCTCTTAATGATTTTAGTTCCCTGTAATTTCTTTAATTAACATAAATAGTCATTAACACTGATCGGTAACGATTATTTGGCTAGATCGGTTATATAGCATTGAAGCGGGCTTGTGGGCCTAGTGAGGGTATGATTTACAAGCATCTTGTGGGCATTAAACATAATTTTTTTTCTGCATTTTGAAGTTATTTTAAGCATTTTTTAATTATATTTTTTAATTTTTGTTGTTTTAATTTTATTTTTTTATTTATTTTTTGTTAATTAATACCATATGAAAAGATATTTAAGATTTCTATATTTTATTTATTTTAATAATCATAATTATAGAACAGAATATTTTCGTTTCTACTTCAATAGTATCTCTACAAATTATAACCATTCTAGTCCAAATTTAATAACAATTTATTGGAATCTCAAGTATTTACAAATGTTATCATACTCAAATATATTTTATGGCCAGCCTATTTTTATTTTTTTCGCAAACTCTAATCTATCTACATATGGACGGTGAGAAAAGAAATTCTTTTAAAAATCAAATTTTAATGTTTAAATCGAATAATTAAATGACCATTTGTGGTGGGAGACAAGACATTGAATGTCCCACTGCCCATCACATTGGTATTCAAAAAGAAATCAGCTGATTTAATTGCTTTTTATGTTGGAATGCGTCATCTGATCTAAAATTCAAAATTCGAAATGGTTAAAAATTTTGAATTTAAATATGGATGGTGGGAAAAAAATTTCTTTTAAAAATCGAATTTTAATTTTTTAAATCGAATAATTTAATGACCATTTGTGGTGGCAGACAAGGCATTGAATGTCCCACTGCCCATCACATTGGTATTCAAAAAGAAATCAGCTGTTTTAATTGTTTTTTATGTTGGAATTGGTCATCTGATCTAAAATTCAAAATTTGAAATGGTTTAAAATTTTGAATTTAAATATGGATTGAGGGAAAATAATTTCTTTTAAAAATCGAATTTTAATTTTGTAAATCAAATAATTTAATAACCATTTGTGGTGGCGGACAAGACATTGAATGTCCTACTGCCCATCACATTGGTATTCAAAAAGAAATCAGCTGTTTTAATTGCTTTTTATGTTGGAATTGGTCATCTGATCTAAAATTCGAAATTTGAAATGGTTAAAATTTTTGAATTTAAATATGGATGGTGGGAAAAAAATTTCTTTTAAAAATCGAATTTTAATTTTTTAAATCGAATAATTTAATGACTATTTGTGGCGGCAGACAAGGCATTGAATGTCCCACTGCCCATCACATTGGTATTCAAAAAGAAATCAGCTGTGTTAATATTTTTTTTATGTTGGAATTGGTCATCTGATCTAAAATTCGAAATTTGAAATGGTTAAAATTTTTGAATTTAAATATGGATGGTGGGAAAAAAATTTCTTTTAAAAATCGAATTTTAATTTTTAAATTGAATAAGTAATTGACCGTTTGTGGTGGCAGATATAAAAGAATAATAAATAAATAAATACGATTTTGAAATTTGAAATTTTAATTGGATAATCAAGTGTTTTAATTGCTTTTTATGGTTGAATTGGTCGTCTGATCTGAAAATAAAAATTTGAAATGGTTTAAAATTTTGAATTTAAATATGGATGGTGAGAAAAGAAATTCTTTTAAAAATCAAATTTTAATGTTTAAATCGAATAATTAAATGACCATTAGTGGTGGGAGACAAGACATTGAATGTCCCACTGCCCATCACATTGGTATTCAAAAAGAAATCAGCTATTTTAATTGCTTTTTATGTTGGAATTGGTCATCTGATCTAAAATTCAAAATTTGAAATGGTTTAAAATTTTGAATTTAAATATGGATTGAGGGAAAAGAATTTCTTTTAAAAATCAAATTTTAATTTTGTAAATCGAATAATTTAATAACCATTTGTGGTGGCAGACAAGACATTGAATGTCCTACTGCCCATCACATTGGTATTCAAAAAGAAATCAACTGTTTTAATTGCTTTTTATGTTGGAATTGGTCATCTGATTTAAAATTTGAAATTTGAAATGGTTAAAAAATTTGAATTTAAATATGGATGGTGGGAAAAAAATTTCTTTTAAAAATCGAATTTTAATTTTTTAAATCGAATAATTTAATGACCATTTGTGGCGGCAGACAAGGCATTGAATGTCCCACTGCCCATCACATTGGTATTCAAAAAGAAATCAGCTGTGTTAATATTTTTTTTATGTTGGAATTGGTCATCTGATCTAAAATTCGAAATTTGAAATGGTTAAAAATTTTGAATTTAAATATGGATGGTGGGAAAAAAAATTCTTTTAAAAATCGAATTTTAATTTTTTAAATCGAATAATTTAATGACTATTTGTGGCGGCAGACAAGGCATTGAATGTCCCACTGCCCATCACATTGGTATTCAAAAAGAAATCAGCTGTGTTAATATTTTTTTATGTTGGAATTGGTCATCTGATCTAAAATTCGAAATTTGAAATGGTTAAAATTTTTGAATTTAAATATGGATGGTGGGAAAAAAAATTCTTTTAAAAATCGATTTTTAATTTTTAAATTGAATAAGTAATTGACCGTTTGTGGTGGCAGATATAAAAGAATAATAAATTAATAAATACGATTTTGAAATTTGAAAATTTAATTGGATAATCAAGTGTTTTAATTGCTTTTTATGTTGGAATTGGTCGTGTGATCTGAAATTCAAAATTTGAAATGGTTTAAAATTTTGAATTTAAATATGGATGGTGGGAAAAGAAATTCTTTTAAAAATCAAATTTTAATGTTTAAATCGAATAATTAAATGACCATTTGTGGTGGGAGACAAGACATTGAATGTCCCACTGCCCATCACATTGGTATTCAAAAAGAAATCAGCTGATTTAATTGCTTTTTATGTTGGAATGCGTCATCTGATCTAAAATTCAAAATTCGAAATGGTTAAAAATTTTGAATTTAAATATGGATGGTGGGAAAAAAATTTCTTTTAAAAATCGAATTTTAATTTTTTAAATCGAATAATTTAATGACCATTTGTGGTGGCAGACAAGGCATTGAATGTCCCACTGCCCATCACATTGGTATTCAAAAAGAAATCAGCTGTTTTAATTTCTTTTTATGTTGGAAATGGTCATCTGATCTAAAATTCGAAATTCGAAATTTGAAATGGTTTAAAATTTTGAATTTAAATATGGATTGAGGGAAAATAATTTCTTTTAAAAATCGAATTTTAATTTTGTAAATCAAATAATTTAATAACCATTTGTGGTGGCGGACAAGACATTGAATGTCCTACTGCCCATCACATTGGTATTCAAAAAGAAATCAGCTGTTTTAATTGCTTTTTATGTTGGAATTGGTCATCTGATCTAAAATTCGAAATTTGAAATGGTTAAAATTTTTGAATTTAAATATGGATGGTGGGAAAAAAATTTCTTTTAAAAATCGAATTTTAATTTTTTAAATCGAATAATTTAATGACTATTTGTGGCGGCAGACAAGGCATTGAATGTCCCACTGCCCATCACATTGGTATTCAAAAAGAAATCAGCTGTGTTAATATTTTTTTTATGTTGGAATTGGTCATCTGATCTAAAATTCGAAATTTGAAATGGTTAAAATTTTTGAATTTAAATATGGATGGTGGGAAAAAAATTTCTTTTAAAAATCGAATTTTAATTTTTAAATTGAATAAGTAATTTACCGTTTGTGGTGGCAGATATAAAAGAATAATAAATAAATAAATACGATTTTGAAATTTGAAATTTTAATTGGATAATCAAGTGTTTTAATTGCTTTTTATGGTTGAATTGGTCGTCTGATCTGAAAATCAAAATTTGAAATGGTTTAAAATTTTGAATTTAAATATGGATGGTGAGAAAAGAAATTCTTTTAAAAATCAAATTTTAATGTTTAAATCGAATAATTAAATGACCATTAGTGGTGGGAGACAAGACATTGAATGTCCCACTGCCCATCACATTGGTATTCAAAAAGAAATCAGCTATTTTAATTGCTTTTTATGTTGGAATTGGTCATCTGATCTAAAATTCAAAATTTGAAATGGTTTAAAATTTTGAATTTAAATATGGATTGAGGGAAAAGTATTTCTTTTAAAAATCAAATTTTAATTTTGTAAATCGAATAATTTAATAACCATTTGTGGTGGCAGACAAGACATTGAATGTCCTACTGCCCATCACATTGGTATTCAAAAAGAAATCAACTGTTTTAATTGCTTTTTATGTTGGAATTGGTCATCTGATTTAAAATTTGAAATTTGAAATGGTTAAAAAATTTGAATTTAAATATGGATGGTGGGAAAAAAATTTCTTTTAAAAATCGGA